AGATTAAAGGACCATAGGAATCAAACTAACGATTTGAAATATGAGGAAGCAAAAAACACACAAAAACAAAAAGAAAAAAGAATCCAAAAATATGAAGATAGTGTAAGGAGCCTCTCAGACAACTTTAAATGTACCAAAATATGAATTATTGGGCTGCCAGACAAAGAGAGAGAGAGCAGGATATAGAAGGCCTATTGAAAGAAATAATGACAGAAAACTTTCCCTACCTTGTGAAAGAAATAGACTTATAAGTCCAGGAAGTGCAGAGAACCCCAAACGAGAGAAATCCAAAGATGACCATACCAAGACACATCCTAATTAAAATGCCAAGGGCAAAAGACAAAGAGAGAATCTTAAAAGCAGCAAGAGAAAAACAGTTAGTTACCTACAAGGGAGTACCCATATGACTGTCAGCTGATTTCTTAATAGAAATTATGCAGGCTAGAAGGGAGTGATGAACAGCAAGAACTACAACCAAGATTATTCTACCCAGCAAAGCTATCATTCAGAATTGAAGGTCAGATAAAGAGCTTCACAGATAAGGAAAAGCTAAAGGAGTTCAAAACTACCAAACCAGGATTCCATAAAATGCTGAAGGATATTCTTTAAGAAGAGGAAGAAAATAAAAAAGGTAAAGATAAAAATTATGAACAACAAAAAGACATAAAATACATACCTACCAACAAGTGAATCTAAAAATCAAGTAGCTGAAACCGGTTTGGCTCAGTGGTAGAGCATCGGTCTGGGAACTGAAAGGTCCCAGATTTGATTCCGGTCAGGGGCATGTATGTTGGTTGTGGGCACATCCCCGGTAGGGGGTGTGCAAGAGGCAGCTGGTCGATGTTTCTTTCTCATCGACATTTCTAGCTCTCTATCTCTCTCCCTTCCTCTCTGTGAAAAATCAATAAAATATATTTTAAAAATAAATAAATAAAAATTAAGTGAATAAAAATCTGATGAACAAAATGGACTGATGAATATAATAGAATTAGGGACATAGAAAGGGAGTGGACTGACAATTCTCAGGGGGGAGGGGGTTTGGGAAGAGATTGGACAAAAATCTTACACCTATGGATGAAGACAATGGCAGGGGATAAGGGCATGGGGTGGGGTGGGGAATCAGGTGGTGAGGAGGTATGAGGGGATAAAAAAGAGAACACCTGTAATAACCTGAACAATAAAGCTTTATTTAAAATAAAAACAATAAGTAAGCTGAAATATTGAACTCAGATTAAAATTTACAAAATAAAAATTGTATGGGTAGAGTTGAAATAGAAATGAATTTAATGGAAGAGAGCTATTTGAGTAGAAAATTGGAGGCACCAGGTAGTCCAGCAGACAAAAAGGGAAAGGTGAGAATGAGCTCTGAAATCTAGCAGACCTTGGAGTCTTGATTAAGTGACACTAGGTTTGTGACCTTGGCAGGTAAGCTAACACTCTGTTTTTCCTTCTCACTTGTGCAATGGAGGTGATGATAATATTTCATAGTTCTATAGGTGCTTCTGAGGAATAAATGAATAGAGTGTTTGGTAGTATGCTTGGCACATAACATTATAAAATATTTCATTTTAAGGGGGGTTATTATTCACCCTTTGTTTATGTTTAGATAAAAGTCTCTTTATTTGTTTAGAAAGTTCATAAGGAGTCAAGTTACTACTCAAGAAAGTGTAATAGAAACTACTCAGGACTGAGTTATATCGGAAGCACCATTTTCATCGACTCAAAGTGAAATTTAACTTAAGCTCCATCTGCATTAGCCTTGAATTAAGAAATTTTAGAGTAATTCACATTAGGAATTTTTTTCCCATGTCTGGAAATAAAAGCAGGGTCAAAATAAGAATAAATTGATATTGAAATATATGTGTATTTTTGTTTGTTTATTTGTTTTGTTTTAACAAGAAATCTGATAAATTAGAAAAGACAACATTGCTCTCATTATGCCAGCTTTGGGGCTTGGTTAAATAATGTTTTTATTGGGACTGGGACTCAGAGTTGAATTGATTCTATAAGCATCACATCTTTAGCATTTATATTTGGTATAGTAAAATAAATAATTTTGTATAATTATAGTCTCATAAGATGGGCCTTGCAGTGGCAACAGCACAATTTGGCCACAAAATTTATATTTCTAGCTAAATTGAGATGTGATTAACAAATAAAATTGTATATATTTAGGTTGTACAATGTGACTTTTGAAAAAGGTGTGAAATGTGTTGATTTAATAAATGTATACCACAATCAAGTTCATTCCACATCCATCGCCTCACATAGTTATATTTATATGTGTGTGGTAAAACACTTAAGGTTGATCCTAAAGTGTTGACAACTCAGTTTTCAATTTAAAAGCCTTTAGGAAGGCATGACCTTTCTAGTTTTTCACAAGTCCCACTATCCTACTGTTTCATGTTACTCCAATCTCTGATCTATTCATACCAAAAAAAAAAAAAAAAAAAAAAAAAAAAAAAGTTGTGAATTTAGTGAAATATATCAGTTTATACTTTTGTGGTGGGGTGGTAGGATCAGGTGGGTTAGGGGGGCGGGGCCTTTAATCTAAATCAGATCCTTGAACTTTAAGGTGCCCCATATAATTGCAAATACCTACCACAAATAAATGCTTGAGTTCAACTTCTACGAGGCTGAATCCATAAAATCCTCAACACTTACAATGGTGTCTAACACCCTTCATGCCCCAGGGAAAGTTATGCCCATCTCCTGCTTTCTCACCTTGAAACAAAAACCATGGCATCTCCGAAACCGGTTTGGCTCAGTGGTTAGAGCGTCGGTCTGTCAACTGAAAGGTCCCAGGTTCGATTTCGGTCAAGGGCATGTACATTGGTTGTGGGCACATTCCTGGTAGGGGGTGTACAGGAGGCAGCTGGTCGATGTTTCTCTCTCATTGATGTTTCTAGCTCTCTATCCCTCTCCCTTCCTCTATGTAAAATAAATAAATAAATAAATAAAAAATAATAACATGGCATTGAATGCCCTGGAAGTTTGTGGTTTTGCTCATTGAGGAGTGCTAGAATGGAGAAAATGTTGAGGTGGGGATGGGCTGTGAATAGTTGAAGCTCTTAATTGATCTATATTAATTGAAGGGAAGAGTAAGTTACCAAATCTTTTCTCTAAGATGTCATAAATACAAGATTCTTGAACAAGTGTAATTTTCAGTAGAACCTACATTCCAGTTTTCAGCTTCTCTTCCTTTTCCAACTTATGGTTTTAGAGCTACTTACAAAGTGTTGCACTATTTACAATAGTTGCAAGTGTTGGCAGAGAAATATTTTTTCAACACTAAATAGTTCTTCCCACTCTTAAATTTGGATATACGTAGGTCTAGATGTGTGAGGCATGATATAAATTCTTTATAATGGCAATTAAATAAACATTGAACCCTGGATTATTAATAGTTTTATTTTTAAATATATTTAACTAGAGACCCAATGTACAAAATTCGTGCAAGGGGCTTTGCTCTTACAATCCTGGTGGCTTGCCTTAGTCCTTGCAGCCCTGGCTTTGTCCGGAAGGTCATCGGAAGGTCGTCTGAAGGACATCAGTCTAATAGCATATTACACTTTTATTATTATACCTAATAGATGATATTTATTGAATTATCAAAAAATGTTTAAGCAATTTTGCTTAAAAACTTTAAATTGGACGAATTAAAAATCTTGCTATACATTAAATATAATTAGTATTTTCTCTTTAGTTAATATCATAGATGAAAGTCTTTTAAAAAGCAAATGAAAATGGTATTATATTTTTTACATTTACATCAATTTACATTTTGGATGAAAATATATTCAAATGTTGTTATTTAAAATCAATCCAGTAAATAAATCTTTAAGTGATTACTAATATTTAAGCACAAATTGTACACATATCTTCACTATAACAACATAATTATTCACTCTATAGAAAAGAAAAATAAGAAAACTAACTTTATAGAATTACTTCATTTTGAATTATATGTCTTTATCTTATTATTCACTGGTGCATCATCAAAATATCCTGACATCTACAAAAATAATTAAATTTTGTCATTTGTTGTTTTACTGATTTTCAGTGTTACAGAAGCCATAGCTTTAGATACATTTTTCCAATTTGTTATTGTGGAGGTATATCTGTTAAAGTGGGAGAACATATTTCATAGTTTTAGCCTGATTGTTAATGTGTAAGTGATTAGACAGTTATAATACTTCATGTCTGAATTTGTCATCTTAACCCCTTATATCTCAGAAATGAAGGGTAGGGCTAGACTGAAGCAGAGTCTAGCATCCCCAGGAAAACAATTAGTTTCATTCCCTTCCTGAGGTCTAGAGATGGCTTAACAGAAAAGTCCTTTATGGCCACAGGACAGAAATTGCTTTCTCTATACTGACCTCATAGAAGCTAACCCATGTATCTCTCTCTATTAGTTAATTGTGGTTCCATATTCAGATTCCTTGATCTCAGAAATATCTGGAGCTGCCTTCTTTAATCTTATAACTCTTTTCTATAGAAATAGATCCTTTGCTAGTAGACTGTGTCACATACTGATCTAAAGAAGAAAAAGGAATAGAGGGTGTAATTAATACTCACTATTCTAAAAAAAAAAAAAAAAAAAAAAAAAAAAAAGGAATTGATGTCATAGTGTGGAAAAAGTTCAGCACATTTAAAACATGTCATTTTACCCAAAAACTGTGCTTACATTTTGTGTCATTTTGGAAATGGACATATTTATATACTATTCCTCTACAAAAATGTGATGCATTTACTATGGTATTTAAATGCAAAAAGGAAGCATTGTAGATGCCTCAGTAACTGTCTTCTCATATGAGGCATGCATCATGTTATTATGTGAATTCAAGATAAAAATACATTCAAAATGCATTTTTTTACAAAAATTATATTATAATTTCAGTTCTATTTCTTCCTGTTAAGTATTTGGAAAGTAAAAGCAGGGCTTTTTGTACTACAGAAAAAATACATTTGTGAAAATGTGATTGGGTCTGTGCTGATGTTGAAATATGCTGAATTTCCTCATTTTACTACTCTAGGTTGTCAGTGAAATTAATCTGGAGAGTCCTAAATGCAGGTTATGTGACTTGCCCTTAGGGACAAGCCTTGGACTTTTCTGCCTAGCACCCCAGAGCCAGTGCCCTTTTCGCCTTTGCTTTCCTCATTCTGTGGAAGTGCTCAGAATGAAGAAGGGAGCCATTGAACAGCTCTGGGAAGTAAGTTGACTCTCTTAGTTATTACCAGGTCCTCTCTCTTCCCCTTGCAAAAAAAAAAAAAAAAAAAGATAAAGGATGACTCTGAGCAAAACTAATCCTCCCACCAGCAGTTGCCTTTATGGGAAGAAGTCCATGCCCCTGACTATCCGATGACTTGATTTTATCTCTTGAACAGTTGAGTTGCTTGACATTGAAGATTTCTCATGTTCCTGTGACCTTTAAGGCTGCTCTCCAGGAAGTTTCAAGGATAAAGACCTAAGCTCCTTAACTCCCAGAGAGGAAGGAGCCTAATTCCTTCCAGGTGTCCCAGCTGCAATACTTTAATTTTCTAATAGTCCCTGAAGTGCCTGTGTATTGGTTCCTTCAGACTCCCAGAAAGCATGCATAAATACTCAATGCCTTTTTATATCTTTAGGTGAATAGAAGCTACAAATAAGTGTTAAGAAGTAACTATAATAAGGAGTGGAATCTCTTATGTATCTGTGTGATCAATGCAGAGAAGTAGTTTTGTGCAGTGATCTAAGCACTTACTGGTCATCAAAGTCACCTGTACTATGGCTTTAAAAAGTTTAATTCCCTGGCCTACTGTTGACCTACCAAATAAATATTGGGGGGTCAGTGGGAAGGATTTGGGAGAGTTGGAAGTTATGCCACATACCTTCCACTTGCCAGTCCACATCCATACTTCAGTCTTGTTTACACTGCTTTGTATCCAAAAGGCTGATCTGTACAAATAATATTACTGAGCATCCTTGTCTTCTGGCTTCCGGCTGTGTTCAGCAAAGGAGAACCCTAGCAGAAGATTTAGGGAAGAAGGAGGGTCAGATGGGGGTCATCATTCTCCTTACCCTCACCCCTCTCTGCAGGTTGTTTCTAGCTAGTGACATCCCTCTTGAAAGTCCTATCAAGGCAAAACTGTCCATGTGATTCTCTTCTATGACCTGATAGCCACTCTTGTTCTTGTTCTTTGTTTTTTAAGGTGATAATCTTCTGATTCCACTGTCTCTTAAATACTAAAAAATAAAATCCTTTATTAAATTAACATCAAATTATCTAATTTGAGTATGCCATTTTTGTTGTTGTTGTTTTGTTTTTGTTTGTTTGGTATTATCCTGATGTGGAGTTTAAAGTATTCATCTAAAACTTTCAGGAGCTCATTATTTCTGGAGATGCTATATGTCTTTATACCTTATGAACACATTAAGTTTATTTAGATAAGTTCTCATTCTGTATATGCTTGTAGCTTGTGATTTTTTACAATTTTAACTTTTGAAATAAAATGTATTGCATCCCTTTAAGTGTATAGTTTGAGTTTTGAAAAATGTTTATACCTGTGTAATCATCACAACAATTAATTTAACACTCAACCACACCAAAAGATTCTCTGTTTTCCTTTCCAGACTATCTCTTCTCCCCCCGACCCTCTGGCAAAAAACAGATGTGCTTTTGGTCATTGCACATTAGTTTTGCCTCTTCTAGAATCCTATCTAATAAAAGAGTAATATGCAAATTGACCACACCTCTGCTACACCCACAAGCCACACCCACCAGCCATGCCCAGCAGCCAATCAGGAGCAAATATGCAAATAAGCCCAACCAAGATGGCTGCAGCCACAGAGAGTAGAGGGGAGGCTTGGTTTTCCCAGCAATGGAGGAAACCAAGCTTCCCACCTGGCCTTGCTCCCCTCAATGCTACAAAGTTTCAATGATAAAAGAATAAATCCCAACAAAATGGCAGCAGCCAGGAGGTGGAGAGAGCAGGAGGCTTGCCTTGCCCCTGGGGATGGAGGAAGCCAAGATTTCCACCTACTCTGGCTGGCCCAGGACTCTGCTTAAGGTTACAAAGTTTCAATTATAGAAGATAAATAAATCTCAGATACCAGGCCCTCCACTTGGATTGCTGAGGGGCATGGCCAGCCTGCAAACCACCACAGGCCTCTCGCCCAGGGCACCCCATGCCCCAAGGGAACCCCCACCCTAATCTGGGACACCCTTCAAGGCAAACCAGCTGGCACCCACTGTGTACAAGGCCTCTATCCTATCTAATAAAAGAATAATATACAAATTGATCATCACTCCAACACCCAAGATGGCTGCCCCCATGTAGTCAAAAGTTCCTGTCCACATGTGGACACAAGATAGCCACCACAAGATGGCCAGCAGGGGAGGGTAGTTGGGAGGGCCAGGCCTGTAAGGGAGAGCAGTTAGGGGTGATAAGGCCGACAGAGGAGGGAAGTTGGGGGTGGCCAGGCCTACAGAAGGGCAGTTGGGGGGGAGCCAAGCCTGCAGGGGGAGCAGTTGGGAGAAACTAGACCTGCAGGGGAAAACAGGTGCAAACAGGCTGGCAAAGGAGCAGTTAAGCATCAATCAGGCTGGCAGGGGAGTGGTTAGGGGGGTGATCAGGATGGCAGCAGAAGCGGTTAGGGGCAATCAAGAAGTCAGGCAGGCAAGCAGTTGGGATCCAGAAGTCCTAGATTGTGAGAGGGATGTCCAACTGCCCATTTAGGCTTGATCCTATGGAGATTGGGCCTAAATGGGCAGTCTGGACATCCTTCAAGAGGTCCCAGATTGGAGAGGGTGTAGGCTGCGCTGAGGGACACTCCTCCTTCCTGATGCACGAATTTTGTACACTGGGCCTCTAGTCCTATCTAATAAAGAGGGAATATGCTAATTGGCCCTCACAGCCAATAAGGAGGGGATATGCTAGTTGACTGCCCCACCCTCAAAGATGGTGGTATCCACAGCCAATAAGGAAGGAATATGCTAATTGACTGCCACACTCTTGAAGATGGCAGTGCCTACAGCCACAAGATGGTGGCGCTCAGTCCCCTTAGTCTTGTTTAGGGACAGGATCAGCCACTCCGCGTGCCTCTAGAATCCCCAGTCCCTTCAACAATCCAACCATCCAGGGTCAGCCCAAGGTGCAAGCAAGCCTTGGATGGCAGCTGCCCAGCTGCCCAGGGCCACTCAAGGCTCAGGTAACCAGGGAAAGCCAAGGCTTGTGCTGCTGGCAGTGGCAACAGGAGAGGTGTGATGGGATTTGCCTTCCCCTGATCGCCGAGTTGCTTCCTGCCCTGAGGGCTCTCAGACTGTGAGAAGGGACAGGCCGGGCTAAGGGGACCCCCCCCCCCCTCCAGTGCATGAATTTTCATGCACCAGGCCTCTAGTCCTATATAATAAAAGGATAATATGCAAATTGACCCTAATAGCAGAATGACAGGTCTCTGTGACATGCACTGACTGTGCGCAGTAGATGCCCCTGGTGGTCAGCATGATTCTATAGGGGGAGCATTGCCCAGCCAGAAGCTGGCTCATGGCTTGCCAGTGCAGCAGCAGTGAGGGGAGCCTCTCCTGCCTCTGTGTTGTGGGGTCGAACCCTGGGTTCAAAATAAGACCACCGGAGGCTGATGATGGATTAAAAAAAGCAGGCAAGGATTTATTGAAAAACTGGCCAGGACGGCCACAAGAGCACCACAAGCAGGTGGACTCCACAAGACCACACTGTTCCAGGTGTAGGCAAGTCTTTTCAAAGGTTCAAACCACAGGAATTTTCCCTCTTTCTAAATTCTAAAGGCTGGGAACATTGGAATGTGGCCCTATCTTGCCAATAATACAGAAGCAGAACTCAGAGATTAATCTTTGAAGGTTATCTATAGTTTCTACCCCTGAAGCTACTGAGTCAGTGGGAATCAATCTCCTGTAACTACCCTATTGTTTAAGCAAGTAATCGAAGGTCAAAGTCAGATAGCAGGATTAAAATTCAAACAGCAATTTTTACCCAAGTATGATTGCTACTGTGTTTCACTCTGCAGCAGCATTAAGGATGTCCGACTGCCAGGGTGAGTGGGCCTAAGCTGTTAGTCCAACATCTTCTGAGGGCTTCCGACTTTGAGAGGGTGCATGCAGGGCTGAAGGTCACCTCCTCCCCTCACCCGAGAATGCAAAAATTTTGTGACCAGACCTCTAGTTTTAAATAAATGGAAATGTATAGTATGTACTTTCTTGTGTCTGTTTTCTCACTCATCATGATGTTAAGATTGTGGATGAAAGGAGCTACATGCTGACCTGACAAGCTTAGGAGAGGCCTGCATGACAGAAGACCTAAAGTAACCACAAAAGATGGCCTGAAATTAAACTTTAACTAAAAGCAGTTATGGTGGGTAGTCACCACCTAGGCCAGTATCTTCACTGATAAGGTCAACCTTTTCCTTAACTGCGCCTGTCAGTCTTTTTTGCATCTATGATAACATATCCTGGTAATGTCTGGGTAACTTGTAACTTCCCTTTTTTTGGACCCTGAGGCACAACCTAATCTGCCTGGGCACCAGGACAGATACCACAACTTCCTTCATTGTTATCATGTTAATTGTTCAACCTAAGTGTGTGTCTCTCATTTTACTTCTTATCCAATCCCAGAAGTTTCCCAGCTTTGCTTTCTCCCATCTCTCTCATCTATCACCAATGGATTTCAAGTAACCCACATACATCCTGCCCTTTGATTGCAGTGTATAAAAATAGATGAGAAACTGCCATTCTCTGGAGCATGACCCCAATCCTTTGAGATATTACTTCCTGGCAATTATCAACAGTTTGGCTCAAATAAACTCACAAAAATTCTTTACGGGTTTGAATGTTTTTTTACATTAACAAGATGTACCCACAGTGTTGTGTCTATCAGTGACCTGTTCTTTTATTGCTAAGCAGTATTTCAATATATAAACATACTACAATTTGCTTATCAATTCTGTTATTAATAAACTTTTAAGTTCTTTTCATTTTTTGTCTGTTATGAATAAAGCTGGTATGAACATTATTGGATTTTTTTGTGGATATTTTTTAGTTGTGTGTTTTATTGTGGGTATTTGTTTTTATTTCTTTTAAGTAAATATCTGAAAGAGAAATTGCTGGATCACAGGTCAAGTACATATTTAGAATTGTTAACTGACATCTTTATAATATTGATCTTATAAATATGATATATTTATCTATCTATTTAAATC